AGATAAACACGTAATATATCGGCGTGGTTTAATGGCGGCGAGAGGTTGCCGTCGCCTGTCCGTGTTGAGATACTGGAAAATTGGATTTTGATAAAAACGAAATCGAGGTCTCGTAGATCGGGATGTATTGCGTCAGTGATACCCTGATACATGAGCCGCGGAGGTCTCAACTTATACGTGAACTAAGTGGAGGGGCGCCGGGCGGGGCGACGACACGAATATATATACGGAGATAATATGTTATTACCTATTTTTGTAACAACTTTGAAACTTGTGAATCACCCTACATTAACATAAACTACAGCTCCGCCAAGATGTTCCTCCTCCCGTTGGATAAAAACAGACATTTACGTAATAAACGAGTTCGTAAATAAAATACTTAATAATCCGAGCTCTCGGAGGAGGTGTACAATAACTAGCGCCGGCCGCCAGTACTCCCTCGGAGAGTGATTGTTTGTAAGTGAATGTTATTAAAGTACGAGGAGATGTTTACGAATGTTCGCAGATCACTTTAGTTGGTAAATTAAAGAAAACTTTGTTTATTAATTAATATTGAGTGAGCGGCCCGCACCTCGCGTCCCGCACATCACGCCCCGCATCCAGGTGAAGAAGTAAGTACTTCATAGTAATGGCACTGAGCTAGACTCGAACCTCGCACTACACTATAACTTCGTGCCTCTACTCCCGTCATCACCCGCACAATAATGTTCGGATACTCTTCTCTACTTTCCAATCTCTCAGCCAATACGCACTTGTAGTATGGGCATAGCTCTAGCGGCGGCCACCAATATGCACTGGTATACTGTTCGATACTGCAGTGTCGCATTTCATTGGGACGACATTCGAACTACAACTACGAAGTGATTTACATTTAAGTAAAGGGATTTAAGCCGTAATTCGCATGTAATGGGTGCAGTCCCCCCCTCCCCCCATGTGAACTACAAACGGATTGCTAGTGAAGGAGAACACGTTGCACGCCAACAGTTTGTGTTCGTATTTGTTGCTAGAGACGGGTGTGCACTAATTTACAGTACATATAAAAACATAGTTATAATATAAAGGTTCCATGCTCGTGATAATTCATCCAAGTAAATAATGTTACATTAAGTTTGAAAAACCACATCCAGTTTCAGGACAAACACTAGCTCAGTACTACAACAAGGAGCCAAGAGTTAGTGCAGACATAACTGCGAGACAGAGGAATGTTAAAGCAATTTGATCAGCGGGCGCTGAGTGGCGGACAATGGCGCGGCCGTGCCGTGGCCGGCGCCGTGTATCGGACGCTCCGGCCGCCGCCGCCAGTGTCCGGCTGCCGGACGCCGGACACAGATAAGCTCGCGCTGAATTATTATAAGTACTTAGCTTCTTTGCCCGCACTAAATGACGTGCGCTGTGACGTAATGACCGGATGGCCACGCTCCACTGAGTTACTCGTTTAATAGGTACTACGTCGACTATACTCACTATGAACCTTCAAAATTTGACAGCTATAGTTCTTTGTGAGTTGTATTGCACGACAAACTGTAGTAGGTGCTATCTCATACCTCAGTATAACAAAACGACATTATCCGGTGGCGACGTTGTCAAGCAGTAAGTTACCGACACAGCGCGTCGTTACAGCCGTCAACGAACCATTGCTAATACAGACATTAACCTTACAAATTGGGTTAACTGTCGTCCTGCTGTACTGATACACACTGACACACTGACAGACCGGCTCATTGTACGCGCAGTGTCTACATTTAAACAATAAGTATTGAATTATTGATTAGAGCACGACCAACCTGTATGAAAAATAAGCTTTTCGTATAACCGCGTTACAAATAGGTAACTCTGTCGAATGAATGTAACTCCCCCGTAATATCCTCACGCCACAATACACTATGTGAGTGTGATAACGTCGACAAAGTGATTTCCAATGCCGATGTCAGCAATATGTCACCTCGTTTACTTCTCATCAAGTGACTGACAGTCAGTCGCAGCAGTCACTCTCATTGATGTCACCTCCAAGAGTTTTTAAATTACTTCATGTCGTTTTTATATTAGGCCCACGTACTGAAATATTAGGTTATGTCGCAACCTACGAGTACATTTGAAACACAATCATGAACTTTAACAAAAAGTGTATTAAAAAGGGAGTCGGTTCAGTCGGCCGCGCTCTGATTGACAACTCCCTCAACTAGACACAACCCGCGGTCAAAGGGACAGCAGCAACCCTTCCCGCGACACCCGCGGCACATGAGGCCCGACGTCCTCTGTCACTCGGCGGACGAATGTTTCCCCCACAACGGGTTGAAACGCATTGTGTGACTTTAGACCCGCGGGGTCATGTTTGCCAGCACTGACGCGGTCCGGACGCGGCCCACTCACTGTTCACACTCACTCTTTGTCACTGTGCCGAGGTTGCAACTTTTATCTGTTTTTTTTAATGACTGATGTGGTGTACGGGTTGTCCTACAAACGAATTTTAAAAATCTTTTGTTTGCAACAGTCCATTGTATTGTAGTGTCGTAGAATAGTTTAAACCCTACTGGAAGCCTTGTACAACAAATCAAACTAGTAACTTGTACCTGAACATAAATAACACGCGCGCAGCGCACTGCTCGCTCCCGGAGGACACCTGCTCTCGAGGGTCGCCGTACTTCCTAAACCGTCCGTCCGTCTAGCTGACAGTATCTTAAGATACTTAAACAGTTAAGCTTGTTACATCAAACAACTGAAAACTTTTAATACTTCCTCTGGGATTAAAGATAAGTTTGTCGTAAACCTCCTCGATCAGCCGGTTAATGAAGTTACCCAATACAGGCCGCCGGCCCGGACCCACTGCTGGAGCCACGCGAACTTACCACTCCCCGACTACTCGAGCCACGGCGGACTGTCGGTATATGTATCACAGCTTGCGATACTATCATTATTTCAAAGCTTCTTTTATTAAAAAAAATATTAATAAATAAATATATATTAATAAACCTGACATAGTGGTGATAGACTGACAAGTACGCCGCACGATGATAATCGATGTCACTATTCCCCATGACGAGAACCTCGTGAAAGCTGAGAAAGATAAACAAATAAAATATCTAGACTTAGCTCACGAGGTTGTCGACATGTGGAGTGTGGATTCGGATATCATTGTGCCGATAGTCGTGTAATCTCTAAAAGCCTCGACATCCATCTCAGGAGGCTGGCGTTAGGCGGATGGATCAAGGGCCTGATACAGAAGGCACGTATCGTGAGGAGGTTTCTGTCTCTGGAGCCCTAACCAGCGGTAGATTGGATCATGCTCCCTATACTGGTCGGCTCCTATTTTTTATATTTTTAAATATTATTTTTTAATTTGCAAATAGTATTTAAAAATGTAAATGTAATGTACATAAAATAATATGGCTCAATAACCCACTGCGCGGTCAGGATGTTAGCACTTGCAATAACACAAGATGTATATAAATACGTAGTGAGTGGGTAGTGTGCCGGTGACGGCGGTGCGACAGGTCCCGGTACCCTCTACACAGTAGTACAGTGCACACAATCATTGCCTGCCACACGATGTGGCCACATGCAGATTTACTCCAACAAATTATACTCAGTGTCTCGCTATTATATAAGAATATTTCTACCTTTGCGATTTCCAATATTGTGTAATGCTTACACTTTGTATGCCTCAAATGGAAAAACATGTAAATCCTTAATTTATTATAAGACCTACATACAATCTGTTGTCATGTTTACAAGAATTAATATCTTTATCTTATATTTACACACAGATTCCTGCATTGATATATTTAGATTGACATAAATATAAGAATAATCACAAGTCGTTAACTCAACCCGTGGAGCACTGGCTGCGGATAAAGTTCCCGAGAAATGCACATCAAGACAACTCGGTGTATGGCGGCCATGTTCTCACCATACATTAACAATTATGAGTTCCGAATATAATACCTGTACTTGGACATTTGCATACACAATGTAAGAAGTTGCATCGCTTGAGACGAACCTTTAAAGCGTGGAACTAAATTGTTACAATTTGAAATGTAACAATTTTGTTCAATTATTTATATTAATTAACAGCAAAAAAATAATTTTCAGTTTGACAAGAGTCTAACAAATATTTACTACATTGTCACAAAATGAAAGAAAATGCTTCACAAATTCATACTTCACATCTCAACACGATGTCGTTCTGAGCAGAGTGTTATAAAATGAAATTTCTGTTGAATTCGCTGCAAAAATCCTTATAATGAGAACAATAAATCACGTAAAATAATAACTCTCGAATAATCTGAACGCCAACATAATTACGTCCTATACTAATTTATCATTTAAACCAACATTGTTGTAAATGTTTGTAGTAGAATCACTCGACAGCGGTGTCTACGGCGTAGTAGAGTGGGCCGCGTAGCACTGTAGCCGCGTAGCATCGTAGCGACGTAGCGAGGCTACGGCGCGCCGTAACGGTTATAAGGGTTGTGCCATTATTATGATAATGGGTGTTATTATGGCAGATATCATTATCTTAGCGGAGTGACTTAGATCTTTGGGGAGGGGTTAATTTATTAATTTACTACGAACCACTTTGATAATTATTTTCAATTTTGCTGCTACAAATTTTAAAGTGGTGTTTTACAGAAATTCCTTTGAATGTTGAGACAAATTGACTTAAAACTTAATGGGGAAATATTTTAATGTCCAAAATCTGTCTTTGCTAACTGAAAAGTATTTGAGAGTCTGCGTAATAAATTTATTTAAATTAGCGGCTTGAGGTAATTACATGAGCACTCAGGATTTAATGATCCTGCTGAGCCCGCACAAGTACCGTCATAATATACTTTAATGCAATCCTTACACGTCATCTAATATATGTAGCCTGCCATACCTACTCCGTACAAGCAGTGTGTGTGTATGTACAAAGAAGTCGCTGTGTGCGGTTATTGCAAACTCATTAAATATGAACAATTACGAAGGCACGGCTGACGTACAGCCTCCAACTACTTACAACTTTAAGTGCTTATGAAATATAGTGCAGGGGCCCGCTGCCCGACGGTGACAAATTGCGCGAACTTTGCGGAGCCCCCAAGGACCAGTAAGTTCGGCCCCCGGCCCCGGGTCCCTGGAGCCCTGTGTTTGTGAGGGCTCGGAACGACGGTGTTTGTTTTGTCTGCTTTGTTTGACCTTAGGGCGGAGCTGTCAATACGCGCCGCAACGACCTGTTTTTCTTGGTGAAACTTGTTGTTTAATTGTTTGATATTATTACTGTATGAGACCGCCGCTGCCAATTGGCGACCCATGGCAGTGTGTTTCATTAACTGGTTATATGCTCATCACCGGTGCCGGCCCGGACTTCTAACTCCTGCGAGCTAAGAGTTTGTATTCACTAATTGAGTTGTACGTTGTTCCTTGTACTGAGTCGTGTAACTGCCAGACATTACACAATCTATGTGTAAACTACCTCTGTTCCATATCTTACGTCACATATATTATCATTGTGAAGCTGTGTCAGCGCCGCTTCAGACCCGAATATAATAATTTACATAGAAAAGTGTTTGTTTTCGTATAAAAAGCTGCTCTACTTTAGATTGAGATTTGTTTGGAATGTCAAATGTCAAGCTTTTGACAGAGAAAAGGGATCGTAAGTTGGCGCAACTTTTTAAATTGTATTGTATTTTAATTTAGTAAAGGCATTCAGTTTTTTATTTGAAATATGATTTGAGTGACACTCGAGAAAATAAGTTTGTTCAGATTCATAAATAATGGAGACATTTCAGTTACTGGATAGATACAAGTTAATATATTTGTAGTTGTATGTACGTACGTATGTACGGTCACTGACTACTGTTGTCGCACTTATTTTTCTACGCTTCCGGTTGTGACGCACTCAAACAGAAAACGTCATAGGATAGTTGGAGGGGCGCGGCATGGCAGCCTTTTGAACACTACTGGACGAGAGTCACTTGGCTACGCGGCGTCACCGAAGCAACATCTCTCCAATTGGTAAATAGGCGGTCGGAAATAAGGTCGCAAGACATTATTCCGTTATAAGTGAATTATTTCTGTGCTAATTATTATTTTGTATATTTATGAATTAATGAATATTGTGTATGCTAAAGTTGTAATGATTTGAATCTGATTGATGATAAACGGAATGTTTAAATATGTGTCATCTACCCTCAATACGCAATAAATGATTCCTATAACTCACTAACCTTGTTTTCTTTTAACATCAGAAGTGGGATACCGTATACATCACGCTCAAGCATGCCGCGAGGTCGCAAACGAAGAACCAGAAGGGCATCATCGACCAGTTCAAGTACTTCTACTTCTGCCTCCAGTTCGAGCAGCAGCAACAGTACTAGTGCCAATGACCGGAGGCGCAAGAAGCGGCGCCGCCGTAAGGATTCACAAACCGTGAGTCAAAATGTTGTATTATCGTCAGTGATTCCCGAATTTGACCCACTTGTGGATAGTGTAGATATGTGGATTAATGTGGTTGAGGCAAATTCACGTGCGTTTGGATGGTCTGATAATATGATTAAGTACCAGGCGCTTCAGAAACTGCGTAACACTGCAAAAACTTGGCTTGACGCTCTACAAAAAAATGAAACTAAGTGGACCACGTGGAAGTGGAAGCAATGGCGCGAAACTTTGTCAGATACTTTTCAAGTTAGAAGTGATATGTTTAGGTCTCTTAAAGAACTCATTGATACAAAACCTTCAGTTAATCAATCATTATACGATTTCTTCTTTAAACAAAAATCTAAAATAGATCGCTTACAGTTAAGTTTTCGGGAACGAGATATAATATCTATAATAGTAGGCTCAATAGGTGACAAAAATATTAGTATAGCTGCCGAAGCTGGTAATTTTAGATATTGCGATGATTTAGCCTCGTTTCTTCACGGCAAAACCCATTCACCTGTTAATGAAGTTCCTTCTAGGAACACGTTGCCATCAAAACATGTTCCTCGGTCGTTACTACCTGGGCATCAAAATGCATCAAATAAATCTGACAATAAAGTGGAGTTTCCTGTGAGTAATAACAGTGCATCAAATTATACTTGCTATCGATGTGGCGAGGTAGGGCACAGAAGGAACAATTGCACCATTAAAGATGAGGTGCGATGTACCTTCTGCAAGAAGTTAGGACATTTAGAGGCAGCCTGCCACTCAAAGTCAAAGCTAAAAGTCGAAAAAGATGTTGAAGTTAAAATGATTTCTGTTCCTAAAATGAAACAAAAGTTTTACAAACCGGTTTTAATAAACAATGAAAAATGTACCGCATTTTTTGATATGGGTAGTGACTGCTCTTTGATTACATCTGCACTAGTAAATCAATTAAAGCTCCAACCATCTCCATTAAATAAACCTATTAATTTAGTTGGATTCACTAATGGCTTCTCAGCCACAGTAACTAAGTCGGTATCTGTTAGGTTCGAAGTCGATTCCGTGGAGTTAACTATTTCATTATATATTATTGATCTTCTATCTGGCTGTGATATCTTGATAGGAAGAAATTTTACTGAAGATAAGAATATCATGTACGTTCGTGTAGGGGAAACCTTAACCTTTCAATCGGTTCGAGCATTGACTGTGTATAATATTGAGGTAACTGATAATGTACCACGTGAATACCAATTAACATTAAATAACTTATTATCAAAGTACCCTCGGTCTTTTGCTCAAGATTTATCGGAGTTAGGAAAAACTTCACGTGTGGAATTAGAAATACAATTAACATCTAATAAACCCATCTATCAACGACCGTATAGAATGTCTCAGTCGGAAAGGGCTATCACACGTGAATTGATAGACGATCTTATGAAAAATGGGATTATTCAAAATAGTAATTCTGCATATGCTAGTCCAGCTCTTTTAGTCAATAAAGCGTCTGGAGCTAAAAGACTATGCGTGGATTATAGGCAATTAAATAAAATCACTGTTAGGGAAAAATATCCAATGCCCATGATTGAGGACCTCATTGACAGATTGCAGGGGTGTAAATTCTATACATCTTTAGACCTCAAAAGTGGCTACCATCAAATTAGTATTAAAACTGAAGATGTGCACAAAACGGCGTTTATAACAAGTGATGGTCATTTTGAATTCTTAAGAATGCCTTTTGGGGTGTGTAATGGGCCAGCCGTTTTTCAGAGATTAATGAATACAGTTCTAGGCAATCTACGTTTTGGAAGGGTAATATGTTACATGGATGATATTCTTATTGCTACAAAAACCATAGAGGAAAATATACAGTGCTTAGAAAAAGTTTTAGATATTTTTGTCAAAAATGGGTTAACTATTAACTTAGATAAATGCTCTTTTTTTAAGGATAAAATTACCTTCCTAGGCTATGATATTACTGAAAGGGGTATCAGTCCTAGCTGTCAAAAATTAGAAGCTATTTCAAAATACCCATGTCCAAAGTCGGTTCATCAATTAAGACAATTTTTAGGTTTAATAAATTATTTTAGAAAATTCATTAAGAATTGTGCACTTCTCTGCAAACCGTTGACTTCGTTATTGAAAAAGCAGGCAATCTGGCAATGGGGCCCACAACAAGAGCGGGCTGTAGCACAACTAAAGGATGCATTGATTGAGAATGCAGTGCTCAACGTCTTTGACCCAAAATTACCGATCAATTTATATACCGATGCTAGTCGCGATGGCATAGGATGTATCTTGACCCAGCTAACGTCTAATGGCGAAAGACCTGTGTATTTTTATAGCCGTCAGACTAGTGATGACGAAAAGAAATACCATTCATTTGAACTGGAGCTATTAGCAATCATATCTGGTCTACAAAAGTTTAGACACTATCTCTTGGGAGTAAATTTTAAAATTACTACTGATTGCAACGCAGTACGACATGCATTAAATAAAAAGGAAATAGTTCCCCGAATAAGTCGATGGGTATTGTATACACAGGATTTCACCTTTGAAATAGTTCATAAGGCTGGGTCACAGATGCAACATGTAGACGCACTGAGTAGAAACCCCATAGGTATTAATATTGCGTCCCATGAAGTAAAAAGCGTTAATACAATTACTGAAGGTGATTGGTTGTTAGCGGTACAGTTACAAGACCCTAGTATATGTAGCATAAGAGAGATATTGCAGTCAGGTGAGGCCGAATCGAATAAAGATTTATTTAATAAGTATGAATTACTAGGAAACAAAGTTTATCGCAGAACGGCATTTGGCAGGCGTTGGTTAGTACCGAAACAATGTATATGGTACGTAATTCGTGCTAACCATGATGATGTAGGGCATTTCGCAGTGGATAAAACTATCGAACGAATCAAATCAAAATATTGGTTCCCTCGATTAAAGAAAACCGTATCGAAATACATTAAAAACTGTCTGAATTGTATTTATTACAAAAACATTCACGGGAAAAAACCAGGGAAGTTACACCCAATCCCGAAATTTGCCAGGCCATTCCACACACTTCACGTCGATCACCTCGGCCCCTTTGTTAAAACTACACAGAAAAATAGTTATTTGTTAGTGATAGTTGACTCTTTTACAAAATTCGTTTTTATTTCTGCTGTAAGAAACACAAAAAGTAAACTTGTTACGAACGAGTTAGATAAAATTTTTAAGGTATTTGGAAATCCAAAACGCCTTATTTGTGATGCAGGAAGTGCGTTCACATCAAAATTATTCACCACTTATTGCAATAATAAAAATATTAGGCTACATATCATTGCTACTGCGATTCCACGCTCAAATGGTCAAGTCGAGCGCTATAATCAAACAATTTTGGAAGCACTACGTAGCATGAGTGCTGATACTGATTACAATAAGTGGGATCAGCACGTAACTAGCATACAACAAGGCATCAATAGCACAATTAATAAAACCACATCCGCTGTCCCAAGTGAAGTGTTTTTCGGGTTTAGAATTCGAATGAATAATGACGCGATCACTGACGATAATGATGATCATTCTGTTGACGTAACTGCGTTGAGGGATGAAGTCGACGCAAACATAAAGAATAATGCAGAACGACAAAAAGCATCCTTCGACTTGAAAAGAAAAGAGGCCCACATTTACAAGATTGGAGACTTGGTGGTACTGAAAATACCGAGTCACACAAATGATGGACAAAGCACTAAACTGCTACCTCTATACAAAGGACCCTTTCAAGTTACAAATGTCTTGGGGCACGATAGATATCAAGTGGCGGATATGAGAGGAGCTGAAAGGTCTTCAAAGAAGTACGATGGCATTGCGTGCGTTGAGAATATGAAACCCTGGATCCATGTTGCTGACATACCGGATGTTGTCGAAGGTACATAGACAA